AAGGCCATCTCCAACCTTGGTCAAGATCGAGCCCCGTTACCTGATGGATTCCTGGTCTCCCTCTTCAAAACCTTTTGGGACTCTTTTAGCGAGGATCTCCTCGCTTTCTTTCAAGAATTCCATGCCAGAGGGATTATCCATTGAGGAATGAATTCCACATTCATCGCTCTTGTTCGAAGGGGCTGAAGAACTCAAAAGACTTCAGGCCAATTAGTCTCATGAATCATCAATAGCTCATAAAAAAATACTCTCCAAAGTCCTCGCTTCAAGTCTGCGAGAGCTGCTTGGTTGGGTGATCTCTCCCACCCAAGGAGTTTTTCTTTAAAGATAGGCAAATCGTCGATGGGGCCTTCATAGCCCATGTGGCCATCCATTCTAGGCACCTCGCCAAATCCCCTGGTTTGATCATCAAGCTCGACTGGGAGAAAGCCTATGACCACGTAGACTGGTCCATCCTAGACGAAACCTTTCTTTGTATGGGTTTCGGGGCCCAGTGGAGAACCTGGATCAGAGGCTGTATTTCAAGGCCTTTTTTCTTCATCCTGATCAGTGATTCCCCCAAAGGCTTCTTCTCCCCTGTAGGGGGCTCCACCAGGGCGACCCCCTCTCCCCATTTTTGTTTGTGATTGTTGCCTGAATTTTCAGTAGATCGATCTCGAGAATGTACCTGGCCGTTTGCTCAAATGTTTGACTGATTTCCCACCACCAATATGCTGATGACACCTTGCTGTTTTGAGAGGCCTCCTCCGAACAGCTAGAGACCCTTCACCTCTTCCTCAAATTGTTTGAGATGGCCATGGGCCTTAGGGTAAATATGGCCAAATCAAAGATGCTCGGTGTGGCAATGAATCCTTCCCTAGGGGCTGCTCTTTCGATGGGTTGCCTTCCTCTTTTTTGGGCCTACCATTATGATTAGGCAAACCTAGACTCTGCCTCTAGAGCACATTATTGATAAATTTGACCAAAGGTTGGCAGGGAGGAAAGGCAGATTCTTATAATCAGCGGGTTGTCTTACCCTTATCAAAGCCATCCTTTCTAGCATCCCTAGCTTTCATATGTCTCTATTCCATATGCCGTCCTCGCTCGTCCTCCGCCTTGAGAAACTCATGAGAGCTTCCTGTGGTTCAGGCCTTGGCATGGCGATAAAACTCTCTTCTGGCTCGACCCGTGGCTGGACGATATCCCTCTGAAGGAACAATATCTCATCCTGTTCCTGCTAGCATAAGACCCCAATGCTATGGTGGAATCGCAATTTGAGACGGTGGGTAATAGGAGGGTGTGGAGTTCAATCTTTAGAAGACGTTGACTGATTATGAAGTGCAGCCTTTCTTAGGCCTCTCTGCCACCCTAAGCTCAAGCTTCCTCCCTTTCCAGGGCCTAGATAAACTACCCCCAACCACTCTGGAAGCTTCTCGGTGGCTTCCTTCTACTTGTTCCTTTCTCACCCCTAAATCCTTCACTCCCGGGCTGTTCCCATTGTGAACAAAGCTTGGACCGCCCTGGTTCCACCCAAAATCTAGTTGTTCAACTGGATCGCTGCTTCTTAGAGAGCCCTCACAGTGGATCTACTGCAAAGGAGGGGGCTCCAAATCCCCAACAGGTTCATCATGTGTATTGACGAAGAGGAAAGCAACGCCCACCTCTTTATCTATTGCAAGCTGGCCTTCTACCCTCTGGGCCGATCTCCTCTAACTTTTCCATTGACAATGGGTAACCCCACCCAGTGTTCCCCAACTGTTTTGCTCAGCGCCTCAGCCTTCTCACCCCCTTGGCCGAAGGCTGGTAGACTGCTGTGGCGGGCCTCGGTGGCTGCCACTTTTTGGGTCATCTGGAATGAAAGAAATGCCAGAATTTTTCGCAGTCAGAAATCCACCATAGAAGTTTTAAAGGAAAGAATTAAATCCTCAGTCATTTTCTGGGCCACCCACTACAATCTTTTCAAAACCTCTCCCACCCTGACCTTCTCCACAGCTGGGCTACCATTCTGACCTCCCTAAAGATTACCTCGTTCTTCCCTCTGGAGACCACCCGATGAGGCCCAAATTGAATTCAATTTCGATGGGTTTTCTCTCGGCAACCGTGGCCCAGCAGGTATAGGCTGGCTATTTCGCAACAAAGACAGCAATACTTTGTTTTCTTTCTCCATCCCAGTTGGGCATTCAGATTCTCACTGTGGAAGCTTTAGCCCTTCGGGAAGGACTCAGGAATTTTGATCCTTCTTGGGGCCAATCCCTCAGCTTCAAAGGCGACTCTTTCTGTGTTGTCTCCTGGGCCTCAGGCTGAGCCTCCTGGGCCTCAGGCTGAGCCTCCTGGCCTTGGAGACTCGACAATGTTTTTGATGAAATTACTGATCTCAGTAGGATTTCCCATATCTCTTGGAGACACATTTGGAGAGAAGCTAATGGTGAGGCCGACACCCTCGCAGCTGCCTCACTCTCTCAAGCCAATTTGCTTACCACGCAGGGAACTGTTTAATACTTTTTTGAGCACGTGTTCCCCCCTTCAGCTTTGGTTCTTACAAATTTGGTTGTCAAAATATCACTGTAAAGCATTTTTTCGGTTAACTATTTATTTTGTATAGGGCATCTGCCTGTGGGTAACATATTTTTTGGCTGGAACCTGTCTGTGGGTGGCCAGCTTCTATGTCTCCCCCTTTGTACTTATTTTTGTGGTTTAATAGAGTTAACATATTCCAAAAAAAAAACTGTGACATTCGTTTACCACATCTTTCTCCCAAAATCCTCTCTGCCCCTTCTAATATAAGCTCATCTCCTCTCCATTGCTCACTTGCATGTGCCTATTAGGATACAATGTCTCTGTCCTCATATGCAAGCCTTTCTATATCTTAGGATTAGTCAAAAATGGGGATTTGTTCTATAAAAAATTGGGTTTGGGCAATAGACAGCTGCATGTACATGACGATGCAACTGCCCATCCCATTTATTATCTATACTCTTCCAATAGTCTTTTTCATTAGAATCCTTATGTTCAAAAGTTGCAGCAATAGCCTCTGTGGCCCAATACCTCATGGGAGGCCTAAAATTACTATTCGAAATCCTCAAGGGCCAAGTTACTCGAATTACATGGGCAAGTAAGGTTTAAAACTGGCTCCCATTACCCTTCCTAGAACATACGAAATCCAAGTGAGCACTTGAGCTAACCATGACTCTCAGGCCATCCTTTTTCTGCTAAATACAAACAGTGCTCTTGCAGCAACTGCTCCAAAGGGAGCCCACGGTTTTAACCCCCCACCCCCCCACCACAAAAAAAAAAAACCTCCAATGGAGTGTTTGCCCATATTATCAGCAATAACCCTGGGCCACATGTCATGGTCACCACTTCTTCAACAATGTTCTTAAACATTCCAAATAATGTCTTCCCTATCTTTAATAATATAGAGGCATTCGCAGACCTCAAGAAAACTGTCCCCCTAATATATCTCAACTAAATGTTTATGGCCCTCTTTCACATCACTGCACCCATCAACCATGATGGAACATTTATGGTTGGCCCCATCTCCCTATATGTTGAAATGTATCCCTTAACCCCTTCCACATTCTTCTTTTGTTTTTTTTTTGAGAAGAGCAGTTGCTGCAAGAGCATTATCTGGCCGTTACAGTCAATCTAAAGTCTAGTACTTAATCACCAATCACCACCCAAATCTCCTATCGTTCCATGCTTAAACAGCCACCAATTAGGCAATTACCTACCGAAAGTCCCTAACCACGAATCTCCAATTCAAAATTTCCAAACCACAAATCCTCCAATAAACTGACAGTAAATCACCACTCACCAAAATGTGCACTTCACAAGAATCACAACTCTACAATACAAAAAGTCACACAAAGGCAAACCTGTTGGCCATTGTAAAATTTAAATTCGTATTAAAATTAGAAAACCCTAATTTTTTACGAAAACCTGGACAAGTACACAAGAACAAAACAATAAAAGAAGAACCTCACTTTTCTAAAAAAATATTGAATGAAGTACTTTAGTAATTGAAAAAAATAGTATTCATATCAATAGTAATAGTCAAAATAGAGAAATCTTAAGATACTAAAAAACACCAATAGTAAATATGGAACAGCTTCCAATTTTACGGACCTTGGGTGCTCCAATTGCATGTCCAACCGGTTGACCTGGTCTGTGCCATCCTATTTTAAAATTCACTGGCTTATGAAAACTGTACAAACAATGCTTATCATGATGAATCGGCATTTGAAGAGAGTTATTTGACTTGTTTCAACTTTCAGCTGGAACAAGTCAAGCGAGTTCATGGGTGACTCATGAATCGTGTCCGGGGTTTGGCCAAAATGTTGGCAGCATGTTCATACAAGACCTTATTTGGCAGGTAATCGTCTCAGGCGGACTTGGGTGTGTCTAAAGTTCGACTTCACCTGATGGTTCTTTTCGATACGAAGCGTGCAAGGGAAAACTTGATGTTGCGTCAAGGAGGTTCAATTTTCATATTGTGACTGGTGATTAAGAGGTTCACAGAATATCTTATGGGAGGAATGCAAACAACTGGAGGAAAAGGATAAATATTGCATAATTCAAGTGGACCGAGAAAACAATTTAGGGAGGAAAAACAGGGGAAGGGGGGGTTGGTGAGTGAGAGCTGTCTAAGTAGGTTCCTTCAAACTATCTTGTCTGCTCCATTTGTTTTTATTTCCCAACTTTTTTGAATCCTGTTTCTTTCCATATTTATTTTAGGGTTTGTTGTTTTACTAAATTTATAGAATGTAATCACCCGTTGCTCTCTATGAAGTTAAAATGCAATCCTGTATGCTTGGCATTTGATATGTCACAGACTTGTACTTGGTTGCGGTTTTTTAATATAGTTTTACATGCCACCACATTGTTCATTTTACATATTATTGGTCATAAGATGGCTTCATTTAATTCTTTCTAGCTGTTCTCTGATAATATCCATTTTTTCTTCTTTTTCTGGGATATCGTCTGCATCAACTTAAATGGTTTGTCTTGAACTTTCTGTGCAGGGATGGGTATAATGACTTCAATACATTCTACATGCAGGTAATAGGAATTCTGTCTTAGCATCTGAAAATATATTATATCCGTCCAATCATTTATGCAAGCTCTGTTAGTCTATCCCAACGACCATCTTTCAAAGCATTTTGTTACTCTTGGTGAATATCCTGTACTCAAATGATGTTACTCTCTTAAATACATTGGCTTATAGGGTAGAAATTCCAATTTTCGTCCCTTTTTTTTTCTTTTTTATGTTTCATCAGAGTGAGAATAAAAACCTTTTTTTTGGGAAAATCAGAGTGAGAATAGAAGACTTGGATTGATAGACCATGGACCTTCTTCAAAATGCAGTGGACAAATATTGAAATACTCGCATAATATATATTTCAAATGGCACTAGAAACCATTTTAAGGATAACTGATGAACATTCATGCAGTAACAAGAGACTTTGGAAAAGATGCCTCCTCATTGGAGAGGAATTGCCCGAAGAACTGCAGTTTGCTGGTTGTCCAAAGATTAAAAATTGAGTATGGGTGTTGAGAATGGGATTACAGTTCTTATCGATAGTGTGGGAGTAAACCTAGTCATGGATACACTATGACTTAAGACATGATAATATTGTTCTAAAACACGAGCAGGTTGATACATATTCTGTTTTGAAAGCATATTAACTGAAATGGACCATCGTTCATGCTCCCCTGAAACTTCAATTCCTCTAGCAATCTGCAAAGAATTACCTATGTTTTACCTAGTATTCCTGCATTTTACTTTATAGGATGATGTTAAACCCATATATAACGTTACCCAAAAAAGGGAGAGAAAAAAGAAAAAAAGATTTTGGATGGTGTTGATATGGTGTGCTGCTTGTGGTATCTATTCATGACTGTTTATTGAAGCATCTCTATTTATTAAAACTGACCTCTTTTACCTTTTTCTCTTTAAATCTTATTGTTGGAAAATGTGGTACATTAGTCAGTTTGTAATTGTCATCCTGAAGATTATTTTTCCTTTAAGGTAACTTCCCAATAAAACTTGACTTACATTTTTGTTGCTAGGAAGATGTTTGTCTTTGGTGTGGTTCAAATGATATTCCAATTCCTCTTCTATGTTAAGACGTTCTTTTAGTTTTTCTTTAACCTTTAAGATATTTAATTTGCACCTAGAATCAATATCCTTTTGCAATGTCGTGTTTTCCTTTTTTCCCCAGTGATCGACATTTCATGGGTATCCTTTCCTGTTTTTTATCTTTACCATTCTTGTCATCCTGAACTGGTTTGCTTTTGGAATGCTTTCTGATTCATAGAAGTTCCTTTCTTTTTTTTAAAACTGTTAACCTTGATTCATAGAAGTTACTTTCTGGAACTGAGATATTTGGTTTGATTTATATTTTTCTCCAGTTGCTTTATTATCTCTATAAATCTAACTGACTACGTACTGTTTTTACTCTCTTGTGGTATTGTGACATTCATGGATGTGGGAAATGTAGGTGCCCAATGAAATTCGTTTTTTTAATTATTTTTGCCACCATTATTACTTTGGAAAAACACCCTGGAGGAATTATAGCACTGTATGACCTCTGGAAACAGATTACATGTTTCGTTGTTCATACTCTCCGTGAATTGTTTTGCAGTTATTCTTTTGGAGTATATCCAATTATGAATTTCTAGCTTCTATTGTATTAGATTAACATGTTTCTTTTGTTTCACTCCTCTCTATCTCCATGTGTGTGTGTGTGTGTGTGTGTGTCTTTTATTTTTTATTTTGTTTTCCTAATTTACAGTTCTTTATTCAGGCAGCGTCTGGAACTAAAGGGGGTTCAAGTGGATCACCGGTTATTAATTGGCAGGGAAGAGCAGTTGCCTTGAATGCTGGAAGCAAGTCTTCAAGTGCTTCTGCATTTTTTCTTCCATTAGAAAGAGTGAGTTGCTGTGTTTCGCATTGCTGCTGCTTTTATTTTCTTCTTACTCACAGCTTTGGTGGTTTTCAAATGTTATATATATATATATATATATATATATATATATATATATATATACTATANACTATACTATTATATAAGTAGTAGTGTAGT